TTAAAGTAAAAAAAAAACTAGTGTACATTAGACTTCTCTCTTTTCATTTATTATGGATTCCTTATCCTGCTCCTACAAACGTTAAGGGTCTTTTGTCTTTTGCGATAAGTAACTATTAAGGATCTTTATGGAGATATTAAGGAGCTTTATGAAGCTGCTTTCGAATGATTATACATATGAAGCAACAGAATATATTTCTTTATTTCAATACTCTAGCATATTGTTCAGAGCAGAGGACTTTAAAGTGTAGTTATTATGGATTGATATAGTGGTTGTATATGTGGTTTATCTTGTTTTGGTAAAGTTATGAGATTTTTTTTTTGTTAGATGAATTACAAATGTCATTTAATATCCGTAGTTGTTCAAGGCCCAAATTGTTAAGTCCAGAAGTCTTTTAAAACTCCATTAGAATATCGGGAATTAATTTGCAAATATAAATTTAGGTTTTCGAGTTAAGTAGCGGGTTCAAATTAAGAGGGTCCTCCCTTTTGTTTGAATTCGGACTTGAATTCAAGTCCCAAATTTATAAATATAAATTAATTAGGCCCTTTTAGAGACAAAAAATAAATAGAAAATCTTAGTTTGCTTTAAGTTGGCCTTTAAATAATAAAACATGAGACGAGACCTCGCCGACATAAAACATATAAAATTGCGGGGCCCTCATTAAATACTATGTTAAAATATTTTAGAAATCGGGTAAGCCATTTAGCAAATTTCCATGGCTTCCCGCAAAGATATCAACACGCTAGTTGCTTTAGGCGTGTTATTTAATAATTTCACCTTCCTAAACTCGGGTGTGCATTTCATGCAACCCAAATCCAAATCCCAAAACGTTGAATAAGAGGTGTTGAGGATCCGGGTGCATTTCCTGTGACGTGATCCAAAAGCACGCTCTTAAACGGCGTTCACTTTCGTAAAAATAAAATAAACTAAAAGCGGTAAATAATCTTAAAATTGCACTATAGGTTTAAATATGTATAAAAACCAGATTTTAGCCATTTATGATAATTTAAGCGACCGTGCTAGAACCACGGGATCCGGGGGTGCCTAACACCTTCCCTCGGGTCAACCGAATTCCTTACACAGAATTTCTGGTTCGCAGACTCCAATTGGGAAGTCGAATTTTTCCTCGATTTGGGATTTAAATTAAACCGGTGACTTGGGACACCAAAAGCCAATCCTATCCCAAGTGGCGACTCTAAAAACAAATAAACAATCCCATTTCGAATAATGTCACTTTAAATGGAAAAACTCCCTTATACATTATCCTTCGGAGTAGGTGTGTAAAAAAGGAGGTGTGACATCACCTAACGAAGCTAACGAAACCATCAGATTTCCATTCCGAGGCCGTCTTCACAGTGTCCTGACTACGGGCAACTTTCCAACACTTAAGCTCTCATTTAGGGACTAAGTGTCCCAAAACTTTCCGAAACTCAAAACCGAACATCCCGGCAATTCAATTTAGCAGAAATAGACTTGGGGAAAGCAGTTAATAGGGGATCGAGGCGTTAATTCTTAAGACGACCGACCGGGTCGTCACATCCTCCTACACTTAAACATTCATTCATCCTCGAACGAGCATAAAGACATACCTGAAGTGATGAAAGGTGAGGGTAACTGTAGCGCATATCCTGCTCGGTCTCCCAGGTCGCCTCCTCGGCCGGCTGACCCCACCACTGAACCTTTACTGAAGCAATGTTCTTTAATCTCAACTTTCTGACCTGCCTGTCCAATATAGCCATTGGCTTCTCAACATAGGATAGATCCTTGTCCAACTGGACTGAACTGAAATCCAACACGTGCGACGGGTCACCGTGATACCTCCGAAGCATCGAAACACGAAATATCGGATGAACTCCCGCCAAGCTGGGGGGTAAGGCAAGCTTATAAGCAACCTCCCCAACACGTCTCGATATCTCAAAAGGGCCAATAAACCTCGGACTCAACTTCCCTTTCTTCCCAAATCTCATAACGCCCTTCATAGGCGAAACCCGAAGCAGAACCCGCTCTCCGACCATATATGAAACATCACGAACCTTCCTATCCGCGTAACTCTTCTGTCTGCACTGGGCTGTACGGAGTCTATCCTGAATCACCTTGACCTTCTCCAATGCATCCTGAACCAACTCTGTGCCCAATAGCCTGGCCTCACCCGGCTTAAACCAACCCATCGGAGACCTGCATCTCCTACCATATAATGCCTCATACGGTGCCATCTGAATGCTGGACTGATAACTGTTGTTGTAAGCAAACTCCGCCAATGGCAAGAACTAATCCCAAGACCCACCAAACTCAATCACACACGCACGGAGCATATCCTCAAGAATCTGAATAGTGAGCTCGGACTGTCCGTCCGTCTAGGGGTGAAATGCTGTGCTCAACTCTACCCGAGTACCCAACTCCTGCTGAACGGCCCTCCAAAACCGTGATGTAAACTGAGTACCTCTATCTTAAATGATAGAAGCGGGAATACCATGCAGCCGAATGATCTTCCATATATAAATCTCCACCAACCGCTCCGATGAATAAGTAGTACACACAGGGATAAAATGAGCGGACTTGGTCAGCCGATACACAATCACCCAAATGGCATCGAACTTCTTCGCAGTCCGAGGGAGACCAGCTACAAAATCCATGGTGATCCTCTCCCATTTCCACTCCAGAATCTCTATCTGCTGAAGCAACCCACCCGATCTCTGGTGCTCATACTTCACCTGCTAACAGTTGAGGCATCTGGCTACATATCCAACTATATCCTTCTTCATCCGCCTCCACCAATAGTGCTGCCTCAGATCCTGATACATCTTCGCGGCACCCGGATGGGTGGAATACCGCGAACTATGGGCCTCTGCTAAAATCAACTCCCGAAGCCCATCAACATTGGGCACACAAATCCGACCCTGCATCCTCAATACCCCGTCATCTCCAATGGTCACATCTCTGGCATTGCCATGCTGAACCGTGTCCCTAAGGACAAGTAAGTGAGGGTCATCATACTGCCGCTCTCTAATATGATCGAATAAGGAAGACCGAGAAACCACACAAGCTAGGACCCGGCTGGGCTCCGAAAGATCCAATCTCAAAAACTGACTGGCTAAGGCCTGAACATCCATCGCCATAGGCCTCTCTGAAGCTGGTAAATATGCCAAACTACCCAAACTCTCCGCCCGGCGACTCAAGGCATCCGCCACCACATTGGCCTTGCCCGGGTGATACAGAATAGTAATATCATAATCCTTAAGCAACTCTAACCACCTCCTCTGGCGCAAATTTAGATCATTTTGCATGAACAAGTGCTGCAAACTCCGATGGTCAGTATAAATCTCACAAGGCAAACCGTACAAATAATGACGCCAGATCTTCAAGGCATGAACAATAGCAGCTAACTCAAGGTCGTGGACAGGGTAATTCTTCTCATGTATCTTCAACTATCTGGACGCGTAGGAAATCACCCTACCGTCCTGCATCAACACCGCTCCAAGGCCAACCCTTGAGGCATCACAATAAACTATATAAGACCCTGAACCAGTAGGCAATATCAAAATTGGGGCTGTAGTCAAAGCTGTCTTGAGCTTCTGAAAGCT